ACTTCAACTCCCAGAATTCCCCAGCCAGCGAATGCTGGCTGGGGAATTCTGGGAGTTGAAGTCCGGACATCTTCAAGTTGCCAAGGTTGAGAAACACTGTTCTAGGCTTTTTATAGAATTCTCAGCCTTGCACATCTTTTCACCATCTCTTTAAAATGTTCACATGGCTTGTGAGACAGCCATGTGAATATTCTTCTGTAATTGCCATTTATTGTCATTTATTACATGCCTTTAATCTCCAGAATGGCATACTACCCATCACATGCATATTTTTTTCTTATGCAAGCATATTCTCCCCCTTACTCCCCATTTGCAAAATACTATTGAATATAATAGTGTGAGAAATGGTATACAATAGTCCTCACTTACCAACCATTCATTAAGCAACTGTTCAAAGTTACAACAGGGCTGAAAAAAATACTTTACAGCCCATTTATGACTTTCATAACATCTACCAGTCATTTGATCGCTATTATGATCAGTACACAGTGTCCTGTACCAGACCTTTCTATTTTTTTTATTTCTCCCCTTCCCTTGGAGAGCAGAGATTGGAGAAAAAGAGATTTCAAGAGAGTAAGTCGTTTTCCTGTCTATACATTGAAAGCAATGTGATCATATTGAGAGAAGAGAGATTGTCTACAAAAATAAATTGCTTTTTTTCTGCCGCTCACTCTTGCAGAGGGATTGGAGAGAATGGGATTTCAAAAAGATAACCTGTTTGCATAGCTGCAATATGGTCACATTGCTTCTGATGTGTACAAGACAGAAAGTAGGCACTCAAATATTCCAAAGGGCTGAAAAGTGACTAAGAGGCAAACAAAAGTCAAAGATGTGAAACTGACTAGTTCTGTTTATTTCCAGGTGGAAAGCACAGACCTAGTTGTGAGATTTCCCACTTAGAAGCTGTTTCACTCAGCAGCAGTGATGCTTATCCCAATTAGGGTCGTTAAACAAAAACAACCTGTAAATGTATTTTCCAATAGATTGGACTTTGTGGATGGCAGATGCATGGTCCAATAACTGGGATACAGTGATAACAGTATTAGTATTGTTTATAACTATGGAGCATTTGGCATCTTTTTTCGTACAATTTAACTTACTGCAAATGTTAAGAGAAGAAATCTGTTCAATAAAACAGGATTTTTAATGGCATCCCCCGTTGTTATTGCATCCCATATCTATGGGGAGAGAGAAAAAATAGAATCATCCAGGATATTAGTGACTAATTTCCTGGCTGTTGAACAAAATATGCTACATATTTCATGGATTTATTGCAACAAAATTTAATTTGGTTTAATCTTGTGTGTAAACTAGTGTGCAAGTATAATTATAAAGTGGAAAATATTGAATAAACACAAAAATTCCACTGATCTCACTATTATCAAATCACATTAAGCAATCCATCTGATTTACACAAAAAATTCTCCAAAGGAGGACAAGATCAACAACATATTTTGTAGACAGAAGGCCCCCAGAATAAACTGAACACTTGGAAAGCTTCCTGAGAAACAAATAAATCAGTGGTTCCCAAACTTGGCAACTTTAAGACTTGTGGACTTCAACTCCCAGAATTCTCCAGCCAGCCAAGTTTGGGAACCACTGAAATAAATGATTGGTCTTATTTACAGTCCTCTAAAACACAACAATATACATTTAAATGTCGTAGTTTTAAAAATGCTGCCTTTAGTTTTTTAAGTAGTTTCAAATATTAATGCACATCTAGTCAATGCTGCATCTGAGAAGCCCAAAACTAAGCAGCATGTAATGAAATTCTGGAATTGCGCATTTAAAAATTCAGAGCTCAGTCTAAGAGCCTCGTCTCCAATGAACATCTATAGCATTCTGTATTTTATGACATATTGCTGAAGTGCCAGCCATAGCCAACAAAACTAAGGTTGATGTCTGTGGAGTTCTATACTAGATTTAAAAAGCTACAGTCTTCATGCATGACTGATAAGTTTTGCTTTTTTCTTTAAAAAAAACCCTTCATCTTGTCCTCCTCTCCTTGCTTGTTATTTATTCATTCACAAAATTGTAATTGTTCAGTCTCTGTATTTCTCAAAGATGTTATATGGAATTCCACAAGGAATTAAGGGAAGGTGTTCATCCAAGCACAACTTTTCATTAGAGCTTTACCTCCCGATTGGGGGTTCCAGGAATTTTATATTTTAGCTTACAAATTCTGCAGTCTGAAAAAAAAAAGTTCAATAAATGCTGGAATACAGTACCTGTTCATTGATTGATCTGCAATAAAATAGGAGCTTCCAAAGAATAAATTAGACAATTTTATGCTGAAATATAAGCACTCCTTTCTTGAAATAAGTGACATCAAAGTTTGAAATACAATGCATATGAATTTGGGGGATACATTTTATTCAATTCAGCAGAACTGTATTGTTCACAAAACAACGATGCATTGCTTTTCATCCATGCCTCAGGTTTGGGGGTTTACCTTACCTCAGTTGCTGCTTCTTCAAGGAGAAGCTTTTTATCACAGGATTTGAAAGATTCCAAAGTATTGGTGTTATACAACATTCCAACAGCAGGGCAACAATGTGCTGGTGTTGGGCCATTCCTGGAGGGAAAAGAAAAATCTTAAAATGTATATGGCATTTACTGTAGTCTTAATCAAAATCATTGGTAGTTAGCACATACTTTACCAACAGTTTAAAAGTAAGAATGAAATTTTAAAAGATATTTTAGACAGTAACATAAATCATTCCATGTATACTGTGTAATATATATTGTCAACATCAGTTTTAACCATTGTATTGTTCTTTTGCGTGGACCTTGTCTACAAAAGAAAAGGTGACAGGCATTGGATTGACGGAGAGTGTAAAAAGGAAGCCAATTAGGACCCTGAACAGAGTAACATGCATAGCCTTGACCACTAAGTTTCTGTTCCGTAGAACCACTACTTCACCCTAAGCAGGAAAACAGACCCATGAGTCTTTTGCAAATAAACAGCAAAGATTTTATCTGTGCAATGGAGCTTAGCCGCTAAAACTCCACATTTGCTATAAGCACGGGTTCAGACAAGCTTGCTTACCTGACACTTGAATGATCATGTTATGCTAAAAATTGCAACATCTTGTAACAAAAATATTGTTCTTCAAACTCCGTTATTTATTCCTTTATTCTGCTTACCAATCCTTATCTCTCCCTCGCTTAAGCTTTATATTTCTTCTATAGTTCTGTTATTCACTTAAGTACCCTTTTCTTCAGTAAGTGGATGCAAAAGCTAAGCAGAGTTGGGCCTAGATGGATTAAGGGAACCATGGAATCCCAGGGCTTTGGAAGGATTGGGAAGTTGAAAGATATCTGCAAAAAGATAATGGCCAACATCCCATGCTCCTGCCCCCCAAAAACCTGCTGAATTGTATCAATCTAGCCCAAGTCAAGCTTTCGTGTGGTTTATATTTTTCCTTCTGGATCTGTCCCAGTTTTCAACCACAAGACTTTTTAACTTTCAACCTTTAGGCTTCTTTTGAGGATTGCTCCTTCATATTCTTTTTTCACAGTTCTTAAAGGCTCCAGGTTCTTTAGTGTTATCATACTGGCCTTTGGAAGCAATTGTACACTACTGATTTATTCCCCTAGTGGTTAAAATGTACAGAGACCTGATCCCCACCACAAGATCCAAAACAAATTGTTATAAGCTATTCATGAGCTGCTGTATAGCAAAGCGAAAGCTTCCTTTAGAGACACTGCATGTTCAGTGTCTCACTAACTGGCATCACTCCAAACACAGGCCCAACCTAATATAGCTGCAGTTCTTCTATCTGTCTCTATCAACTCATGGAATAGAAACATTGCAATGATTATGCTAAGTAGAAATCCTATTTGTCCCAAACAGTAAGTGAAAACTGCTGGTGATCCTTGGTTCATTTAAACAAAGCTCGCTCAATGTGTGTATTGTGTATATTCATTTCTATACCTCCTCACTAGAATAAAGTAGACATTTGTGGTGGCATTCTGAAGCACTGCCCTCACAGAGTCGTGATTCTAATATACAAATCTTGATTTATAGCCTAATGATTACAATGCTAAGAATCAGCCTCTGTATCCTAATAACTATTTCAAGACTCAAGATAAAGGATTTATTACTTACGTATCAAAAGCACTAAATTCAAGGGTTAAACGTGCTGGCATTCCAGGAGGATCTCCTAGTAAAGGGAGGAAAAAATAAACAGGTTTTAAAAAATTCTGACAATTATACAATCCAGGACATCTCTATATAATGTTCTGTGAAGACAGATTTATGATAATCTGTCATATTCTTGGTCAATGACTGAATAGCCCAGATGTTCTTTCCCCATGTGGTAGTTTCATAACTGTTTCTCCATTTCATAACAGGAAGCATTGTACAAAGGACAATGTGAGAAAAATGTGACTTATTCTGTTTGCACAAACCTTTCCTCCATTTCCCCCTCCCCCCCCTTACAAAACACAGCCACATAACAGAGGACAACAGAAAAATTGGGAAGCCTTTTGTTTTAACTTCTTTTTGAGAGGCATGGGGGAAGCATAATGTTTTAGTTTTTGGCATTCTTGTACATCAAGGGGCAACAGCAAATTTCAGTAAGAAAGTTTATCTTCACCATTAACCTTCTTCTTGAGCAATCTAGCTCTTCAGCTTGGAGAGAACCGATTATGACACAGAGTCTCTCATATGACCTATGTCATAATATTCTTGCTGCAACACATAACTTATACTTAACTAATCATGGAAGGTGGTGGTTCTAGAAATACCCATTAGCTGAATCATAATCTATACATGTAGGTAAACTACTTGGGAGTGTTGAAACTAGTTCTCTATGGTCTTTAACCTCTAGCCTTTTATGTGAAGGATAGCCTTTCAGACGGTAATGGGAACAGTGTTCCAGCTACATTGGGCAAGTGGCAATCTTCTGATCCCCGACCAGGAATGCCCACTCAAGTGAACGTCCAACGAACAGATCTTTAAGCAACCCAGAAGCTGCTAGGCAGGGATACATATCCACGGCCAATATTCAGTATAGTGGACACGGATGGAAGGTTAGCTTGCGGTAAGAAAAGCCAGCTAGGCTTGTTTACTGGGATATCAAGTGCCATGGAGTTCATGGGGAATTGGAAGGACGTGCCAGCGTCAGGCTGAACCTAACCTGAACTCTCCCAGTTCACACAGCAGGACGCGTCTCTCGAACCCCCTCCACGAAGGAAAAGTGTTTTACGGGTCTACTTGCCATTATAGTAATAGCCTCTGATCGGTTTCGGAGACTCGTCCAGTTTGTATTCATTGAGTTTTTTCTGAGTGAGCTCATGCCAGAAACCTGCGTCCAGAGCGCTAGTGAAGGGGACAAACTGCAGATTGGGGAGCCCACCCTCCGCGGGGTGTCGCGATTCACCACCGCCGCCGCTGGCCATCATTTGTCATCGGGAGCTACCAGCTGAAAGCCAGGGCCGGGATGCCTCCCAGTTTTCCCGGAAACCGCCGGTTAGCCCTCCCCAACTTCGCCCGGGAAGGAAAGGTATCCCGAGAAATGCGCGTCGGCTCCAGCGGCAGCAAGAGCCTTTTCTCATGTAAGCAGGAAGGGGAGGAGCAGGCGGTGGAGGAGGCATCGCGCAGCGCGCGCAGCAGAGTCAGGAGGACGCGGGGCGGAGCTTCCCACCCGGGGAAGGCAGGAAAGATGCTCGGGGTGGGGGGAAAAGAGGCGTGGCCGGGAAGTTCATAAACGGAGAGGGCGTGGCCAGAGGGAGCTTATCGTGGATCGTAGCTCGGATGGGGGTAGGGCTGGGGGAACGCTCTGTTCGCGGAGTTGCGGTTCTTTTAAGTAGCAGAATAGAATCAGAATAGAGCTGGAAAAGACCTTGGTGGTCTTCTAATCGAGCCCCCTGCTGAAACAGGAGACCCTATACTATTCTGGACAAATGATTGTCCAATCTCTTCTGTAAAACCTCCAGTGATGAATTTTTCAGGAGGCACCTGGACTTTGTTTTTTTTTTTTTCTTTTGAAGACGTTTCGCTTCTCATCCAAGAAGCTTCTTCAGCTCAGACAGAATGGTGGGGAATGGAAGGATTTAAATTCCTTGCAGACAGCTGGTCATTTGCATTATTTTAGACCAGTGGTTTCCTACCTTTCTTTGGCCATGCCCCACCTAAGCATCTTTAAAATCCTGATCTCTCCCCCACCCCACCCAGTGACATATAATTCTTACTTTACTCAAAAAGTAAACTCTGCTCAGGCAGAGGAAGCCTAAAAGGCCATTAACTTGATTTAAACAAGGTTCAAATTGCCACCATTAAAAATCAAATTGCCCCCCTGTGGGGCAAGGTCCCCACTTTGGGAACCACTGTTTTAGAAGATCCTTGAAGTCCTTGGAGGTTTATCTGTGTCCTCGGGGTCATCTGAGTAGTCGTCCTAGTTCCTGTATAGTCTGCAATTGTTGGGGAAGGAAGGAATATAAACCCTTACACTATCCTGCCAGAGATAAGGATGAGAAGCGAAATGTCTTCAAAAGAAAAACAAGAAAGTCCAGTTGCCTCTTGAAACAGCACCTTTGGGCAACCATAACCTGGATGACTATCTCTACAGACCTCCAGTGATGAAGAACCAGTGGTGGCTTTCAATTTTTTTTAGAACCTCTTATGTGGGTGTGGCCTGCTTTGTGGGAGTGGCTTGCCAGCCACGTGACTAAGTGGGAGTGGCTTGGAAGTTGTGTGACTGGGTGGTTGTGGCCAACTTGTAAAATGTGGTGAAACTCACTTAACAATGCTCTTGCTTAGCAACCAAAATGTTGGCTCAGAAACTCTGGCATTTGAAGCACGCAAGTCTTAAAGCTGTCATATTACAAGACCCTTGCACCCATAACTCTTTAGAAAAAAACCCTAGGGGTGTTCAAACTTGACAGCTTTAAGACTTTAAGGTTTAGATAGTATTCTTAGAAGCGGGCAGGGCAATCGGTGAGCCAGCCAATCAGTGAGCGGCAGGCGGGGCAAGCGTGTGGATGGGTGGGGGGGAGGGAGCTGGAACCAGTTCTAAACGGCACGGTAGATTTGTGAAACCTTCTATAGAAGAGGTTAGAACTGGCAGGAACCCACCCCTGTGAAGGACCCACAATGTCTGAAGGCAAGCTGTTCCACTGGTTAAATGTCTTCACAGTTAGGAAGTATTCAAACTTTGAGACTCCCAGAAGCCTGCGATTTCATAGGCTTGTAATCTCCACCATAAACATATAGTGGCAATGATGTCTTAGTTTGACATACAGTGGCATTGCTTCAATTCAGTGACTAAACAGATATATAACAGTGTGGCAAAAATGAAACAACTTTTGTTTCATTTTGCTTTTGTTTTGCTTTTGTTTTGATTTTGAAATGGTTGAGAAAAATGGAAATATATCACATTGTTTTGGATTGATGGATATGGAGCAACCTAAAAATGTGATTAATGACTGTTCTGTACTATATAGACTCAAGGGGCTTGTCTCCTGTGCTTAGTTGGCTGGAGAAGAAATAATTGCTGTCTGAATTTAAGTCCATTCTTCAATTTGACAACAGCCCAGATCTTTGTCTAGACAGTATTTATCACAGATCCCAATTGATAGATTCCTTACACACACACACACACACACACACACACACACACACACACACACACACACACACAACCACCCTTGTACTGGGAAAGCAAGATCCAGTCACTCTCCTTTCTGTGGATTAGTCATTGAGAATATGTGGTTTTCATCATTTTGCATAGCCCTCTCTGTTGCTGCTCCAATGGGGGGAAAATACATAGTTTTACCTTTCAATCATTTAGGAAGTGAAAACTGGCAGTGCTTGTCAAATTCACCTTTAAAAAAACAACCACCTCAGAATTTCAGCAATGAAATGGGAGTAGGGAGTCCTGTGGTCACCAGTCCTATTTGATAACCTGACAATTGCTACAACAAATTGTGCGTGCAGATAGAAACATTGAATTAATGTTTCAGAGCATTGTTTGTTGATGATATAGAAGGAAACCATGTACAAGTAAGTAGTCCTTGAGTTACAACAGTTTATTTAGTGACCAATGTTATAACGGCACTGCAAAAATGATGACATGGATCATTATATTTCATGTAACACAAGTATGTACTTTCATCATGACTTCTATTGCATGTATCGTAAGTAGCATCATTTAGATGCTTGTAATTAGTTTTGGTAGAAGAAAATATTTTTAAGTCAGGGTTGAACTGTGGGGTTCCTGGTGCTCTCTAAGCTTGGTGGTTTTCTTGCAGAAGTTTCATTACCAAATTAGGTAGCATCATCAGTGCATACCGATCATCAGTGCATACAGATATATGAACGTAAAATTCTTGCTGTACTTACACATTATTTTATATTTGGGGCTAAATTTTGCTTATACAGCACATTTCCGGGAAAGTGATCTTTCTTTTAGTAGACAAACATGTTCAGTTATGAAGTAATACTTATATTTGAGTTCCTACTTTACATAGCATTGCAATATGAGCATGGTTAGGGTCAAACTGGGCTTTAGTTCTGCTTGTTGCATATTGCACAAAATATACCCAAACTGATCACCATTATTCCAATTCCAATTAACCAGGGGACACTGTATGTGGCATGGGCTTCAAGGCAGACATTTGACAGACCATGTTGTCTCCTAAGTTGCCAGCCAGAGTTGCTGGCAAAACATCAGGAAATCAGCTGCCTAGACTGCGTTCACCAAACCTGAATCCCAACATTATGTAACAAATAAGAGACATGAAGATCTACATTAATGTATGCTAGTCTACTCAAGCCTCAGTTGCTCAGATTCATGGTAGACAGAGAAAGTATTTTTCTGCATCCTTTTATTTGTGCCATCTAGAAGAATTAATTTTTTTTGGGGGGGGGGGATCACATATATTTAAAATGGTACACACTTTTTGCAAAACTGATCCCTGGCTTTTCCATTATCTAGTCACTAAAACATATAACTATCACTAATCAACTTTCATATGCACCTAAATAATCCAGATTATATCACTCCATACTTTCAATATACATTTTTAATGATTTTGGAGAAAGAGTAGACTATGCTATCAGGAGCAGGCCATATGCAGCATTCAGTGCTAAGGGATGGGGATATGTTGGTCAGTTTTGGCATATTTGGTGCTGAAGTTCAACTCATACATGTTCATACTTTTGTATGTAAATTAGGTCTTCTAATTTAGAGATTACTTTATAAACCAAACTATGATTGTTCTCATCCCACCAACTGGGAAGCATATATATATATAACATACTGACCCATGTTTATCTGAAAAGGTTCTTCTATGCTACTTTGGAGGGTCATCCAATGGAGGGACTTCTTTTCCCTGGAAAGCACTATGGTAATATCTTATGATTTCTTATCGTCCAGTTAGCATTATAAATAATCACTCTGTGGTGTGTAGTTGAAAATTTTAGTGCACAGATGGATCTTCTGTCTCTCGAAAGACTTCTGCTAGCAGTGCATTCATACTTTAGCAGCATCTCTGTTATCTTATTAGACAATTTTGAATAAATAAATTGTCTTTATTTATATATTGGTTGGTTGGTTGGTTGTTCCCTTCATCATGGAGGGCCAAAAAAAAAAAAGTCCAAGTTGCTGAAACAATCCCTGTTCTATGTAGAGCCAACCATGACAATTGTAGAATATCACTTATATTCTATCTATTTATCAAATGCTATGTATTTGGCGTTGGTGTCATTCAGGCTGTCCTCCCACTCTTCTCTTTGTTCATCCTATAGCATAGCAACTACTAAAGAATTCAAAACCTTGTAAACAGTTTTCTGTAATGTGGCCGGCATTAATATGGGTTCTGGAATTCTTACAGACAAATTGATATCTTTTTATATGGTATAACGGTTCTCAGTCATTCTATTCTTGGTAGACGATGTTATGTACACTATGTATGTGGAGATACTGATTTATAATATGACCCTTCAAATTTGATATTCAATATTGATATACAGTTTATGTACAGCTCTTCATTTTGAAATATTATACTTCATATCCAGTGTCTCCTTTTCTGTTGTTGCACTTCATTACAACTATCATTTTAAAACTCTTGTATCATCCAATGTGAAATGTAAAATATATTCCTTTTCACTTTTGTGTACAAAAATACCCAGAATAACAAATAAGCTTCACTGGAAATCATTTTAAACAATCATAGAAATGAATTCAAACAGTGAGGTTGCTCCTGACAGAGTTCTAGCATCTTAACCCTAAATTTAATTTGAATGAAGAGCATAAGAAGATAATTCCTACTCCTACTCTGCTAATTCCTACTCTTTTCTGTGGTTTTGCTACTAAAGTAATTAAGGACTGACTCCAAGATCAAAACCTAATGATTACTTTTGAAATAAAAAAAAATCTGGGGATTATAATTCCAGTATCATCCTTGTAATCAAATTTTATGAACTTGGCAATTTTAGGTGTTAATCAGAGTTAGGAATTATAACATCTATTTGCTTTCTCATGAATGCAACAAGGCCATTTTGAACATAGTCAAGGTCATGTGTCGGGCATATTTTAACATTCTTTTTAATGGTTTTAACATTACAATTGTTTTTAT